CTTCCCCCAACGCCGCTCAGTTAACGGCTCGAGCGGGACGTTACGACGGTCGGTTTACCTAGCCTTTGTTGAGCCTAGAGTTTTTGTTAGAGCCGTTACCTAGATATTGTTATTACTGATTATTCGATCATCATTATTTTTTTATTATCCACTCGTGGATATTATCACACGATTGTCGAGCAGATATTATTATCACTACTATTTAATATTTGAGTATCATTACTTCTTTATTCGGTTATTATTTAATTTATTCGATTATTATTTAATTATTGATATTACGCATGAGAAAGCAACTCAGGCGTGCCGTTACGACAATTTCATTACCTCGTTTTTCATCAGTTATTATTGCCGTTGCCCAGTTATTGTTATTTATTGTTATTATTCGATCATCGTTATTCAGTTATTTTCCGCTCGCGGCTATTATCACACGATTGTCGATTCTATATTATTATCACTTACCAATTACCATTTATTATTCAAGTATTATTACTTTTTTAGAACAATTATAATAATATCTACTCGACAATCGTGTGATAACAGTTGCGAGCGGGTAATTACTGAATAACGATGATCGAATAATCGGTAATAACAATGAATGACAATAACTGGGAGTTTGTTCCAAAGTACTCTTTATTATTCTTATCTCTTTACTTCAGTTTACCAGAATTTATCAAAGATACCACATTCATACCAACAGACTCAATACAAACAATTTTGCCAGTTCAGAGACCCGTGATAATAAATATGCGAAATTATTGAGGCGAAATCTAAGAATTGCTAGGAGTGTATGATGTAAGCTCGCAAATTTTTGTGAAATCACTAAACAACCGATTTCGACGAAGGATTACGAAAGCGAATTCGCGCGAAGCTCGGAATCTTTAGCTCGCCACTTACTAGAAGGTTACCCTCTTCTCGAACCGATAATCGACGTCGTAGTTCGAAATTCTATTCTTACTTGCACGCGCCGAGAAGCACATAGGTTTTCTGAGAATTGTCTTGTTTCACATATTGTTGCGAAACAATATGAGCGATATAAAAATACCAAGCTTCGTAATATCGTGCGAAATCTCCAGGAATTGTTTATTTCCTCAATTGTGTTTAAAACTCCTCAACTAACGCCACGCGATCGTCAATAGAACCGTCGATCTTGCAAGATCGAATCTTGTTAAAAAGAGAACGTAAAAGATAACCTATGAATTAAGAGAAAGATAAGACCTGCGTACCGATAAATATATACTGTAAATCAAGTGAATGTTTCAGATATTTCATCAGTTTATATCATATAGTCCGCAAATCTATCATCAATTCAGTATAAGCATCAAATTTACTCAAAATACATTTTAAATCTTAGTAAGTTTAGCATTTTTTAAATTAAAGTAAAAATCCGGTCTGCTTACTGTATAAAACTGAATAAACTTCTTTTTTAATAAAGTTTTGATTTTTTTGATATTCTTGTACAGAGAATAAATGCTTCTTTTGAATACATGATAAAATGCGTCTTCCTAAAATTTGTGATGAATACATTTCAACAATAACTAAAAACTTAAGGAAGACTCTATGATATACAATTAAATTTAAAAATAGAGGCTTTTTCAGAGCAAGCGTTGGGAAGAAGTACTTATTTCCTCTCAACGCTTGCTCTGAAAGGCTCTCTACGTTTTTGATATATTTCAAGATTATAATCAAGCAAATATCTTTTGGTCTAAAGACAATTATTACTTCAAAGAAAGAAAATAAAATAAACAATCGCTTTTCCTAGCAGTTATGATGTTAGTTTGAATAATTTTTTCAACGCTTTAGACTATCTTTTTCTTAATTCGGCTTTATATTTACATGTCATTGGATATTTTTATATCTCAGAGGGACATAATTGCCATGAATAAGCCACGAAGCTTTTGTTACTCGGTAAAAAATAAAATACGTAATCTCTCTGCGACTTGTGTGGCGTGAGTCGTAGAGTGACAATGCTGATGTGCGATCTTTGAAATTTTCACGAAGTCGGATTGTCCCACGGCGACACGCTGACTCATTTCGTCGGAATAACGACGCGCGGCGCTTTTTATAATTAAGCGCGATGTGCAAGTGTAAAATAAACCGCGAATAACACGTGGCGGTTTATTTACACGTAGCGTGGCGTAGTCGATGGATTTCACGCGGACAAGACGCAGCGGCAGTAGTTAGGCGCGGCGAAGTGTGCCAGCGCGAGAATCATGACTTTTCCCGAAACGTTTTAAAACTGTAATACGCCGCAACACAGCCTTCCCGCGAACGGACATGAGCCACCCTTTCGCCGATCCGGCCGTCTATCGTCGGAACTTAAACAGGTTGCCGTTCAGAACGCACGTCATCGTGGGCAAGTTTACCGCGCGAACGACGATGTTGCAAAAGCCTGGCGGCCCGACGATGAGATCATACCTAAGTAAGGAGGAATACGATCAAAACCCTATAGAGGTTCTCAGATGCGATTGCCAGTAATATACGAAATTACACGGAGAAAAATAATTTGCTGGCCGAGCAAATTTTCTGCTGGTCTAGCAAAATTATTCTGTTATTATATGGACAGCAAAAAGATTTGCTAAGAATACTAATCACTATTTGCTGGATATAATTTGCTGAATCTACAAATTGTTTTGCTATAAGAACCATGATGGATTTATATAAGCAGTTGTAGTTTTGCTCCGATAGTAAATAAATAAATTTGCTAACATTTGCTGGATACATTATTTTGCATCAATAGCAAATTATTATATGGACAGCAAAAAGATTTGCTAAGAATACTAATCACTATTTGCTGGATATAATTTGCTGAATCTACAAATTGTTTTGCTATAAGAACCATGATGGATTTATATAAGCAGTTGTAGTTTTGCTCCGATAGTAAATAAATAAATTTGCTAACATTTGCTGGATACATTATTTTGCATCAATAGCAAATTATTATATGGACAGCAAAAAGATTTGCTAAGAATACTAATCACTATTTGCTGGGTATAATTTGCTGAATCTACAAATTATTTTGCTATAAGAACCATGATGGATTTTTATAAGCAGTTGCAGTTTTGTAGATAGTAAATAAATTTGTTAAGGATACATTATTTTGCATCGATAGCAAATTAACGTGATTCTTAAAACAAATACACTCAACAAATTTTTTCTATCCTGGCAATAAAACTACTTTTGCTCTGATAACGAATAATTTGTAAAATTAGTTACGTCGACTAAATTTTTTGATGTCACGACTACGAATATGCTGTAGCAACGATGATTTTGCTAAAAGAGCAAAATTATTTTTCTCCGTGTAGGGAGGAATACGGCCGATTAAAGCCCCATCACGGTTTTCAGGTGCGATTACCAATAATATACGAAATTATACTCGTATATGGAAAGATCTCATTGTTGGATGCGATGGAGCTTTGATCTTATTTAGATAACATCTCACAAAGCTCCTTTTTAAATATATTTATATTTCGATGAGATCATATTTTGTGCAGTTTTTTCAATTTGCACGCACGCGTGAGATTGCATTTCGCGTAAATGGAAAATGAAAATTGTGTGGAGTATATCGCAAAGCGACCCTGTTCAGTTGTGAGGAATGAGATAAGATAAGATAAATTCCGAGTAAAAGTGCGAAAAGTAACGCGGCGAATTGAGCATCGCGATCGAAATTTATAGACCCAGCTTATGTGCGCGATAACTTTATAAAATTTCGGAGAATTGATAAAAGGCGACACACGGGTACGCACGGCGTAATCGGCTCAATAACGATCCACCAGCTTCCACCCTCTCGGTAATTTCTCTCAAGTTCATCAGAAAGCGCTTAAGCTTGAGAGAGAGAGAGTGGGGAGTGAGTCTTGTTATGAATATCTCTGCGGTAGCAAGCTTAGTCCTGAATAAACAACGACAAACATCATTTCAAATATATTTGCCACACTGCGTGTGTGATAGTGTCGAGGAAGTTTCATGGAAAGGAGAGATAATAATTTCCCTGGCCGGAGGAAAGTGAGAAGTCGTGTAAAAGATGAACACCGTCGATTCAATGAAGACGAAGTTTTCGCGAAGTCTGTTGCAACTCTCACTTATGCGAGGTTGACGTATGATAGTGTGTGTGTGTTCTCGAGTTGATTAAATATCCCCCCTCCTCTCCTCCGGATAAATTTAACCTTTGTCTGTCTTTCGTATGTATGTATTGCGACAACCATCTTCATTCGTGTAGCGATAAAAATATTTTCCAATTACATAAACAATACATCCAAATAAATAATAATAGATCGTGAATCAATTATAATTAAAGTCGATTTTTTACAATCTTTTCTTTATAATTCTTTTACAATCATTTGCAATTGTAAACTCTTATTTGAGTAAATGTGCTTTCTACTTTTATTATTATTTCGCTCTATAATTAGCTTTTTATTAACACTTTCGTGATGAGGTTTAATTGCTTTTATCCAAAGTTTATCTTTAGCTGCTTCTTTACTTTCAAATGTCAGAGCTGGTTTCTGCACGATAAACAAGCTATTTATTTTGTAGCTGTTACCAGCCTCAGTTGCCGCGAACATCGTGAAGCTTCGTTATAATTGTGAAGAATTGTCTTCAATCATGGTAGATTAGCGGCCTGCTTTCACTATTGCTTATTTCACGCGCTGATATCATCGCTACGCTCTTAGGACTAATCTGAGTTACTGTTTATTTCTAGAGCGTTTCATTTAAATTCGTTTAGACCTCGTTTAGACCTCGTTTGCGAGGTCGGGGCCGTCGAGAGTAATTAAGATACCGGCCAGTGTCGCGGACGGTTTCTCTCGCGGCGTCCGGAGCCTGCAATTTCCGGTGATTCCCCGCGTAGCATGCACGTACACTCGTGTGTTCGGCGGATCGCCGAAAAGCCGGAGCGCGCGCGGACTTGGAGGCGCGCCAACGTCCTCGCCGCCGCCACCGTCGTCGACGTCGTCTTCGTCGTCGTCGTCGTCGTCGTCGGTGACGACGAGGGTGTGCGAGAGGCTGACGCCGACGCCTGGCGTCGCCGCGTCGCTTCACCCTAGCGGCCGCCCCGACGCCGGATTGCCTTCAGTGTGCCGCGCATCGTCGGACGTGCATATCGTGTCGCACAGTCGCGCTCGCGTGCGAGCCGATCGAGACATGTGATTCGAGTTTGTCGGTTTTGCCGATCGCGAGACGCTGAGAGGGCATAGCAGCAGGAGGTACGGGCTAGAAAATGTCGAGGAGAAATCCCACGGTCGTCCACGGCCTAAAGTGGTAAGGATCGATCTCCGCGGCATTGTCGGTCCCGGAAGATCCTCGCGACTCCGGAGGACTTGTTCCGCGACGGGCCGAGAGATCGCGAGATCGCCTCTCGATCTCGCGAGTCGTCTCGCTCCAAAGGCCGGAGGTCAGAGTATCGAAAAAGAGGGATGATAATTACGGTCGCGGCGGAGGAGCTCTCGGAAGTGTGAGACTGACGACGAAGCAGGAGAGGAACGCGGGCGAGGGGATGGGGTCTGAGAGAGGTGTTTATGCTTCTCTCCCTTTCTCCCTCTTCTTTAGAAGATTTATGCGAAACGCTCTATAATTAGTCGGCGGGAAAAATAAGTCGCCCAAGAGGTGGAGATGAGCGGAGTGATCACCGAGCGGGAGAAAAACCGATGCCTACGACTTTGAAATTGTCGAAGGGCGCGAGGGTGTCTCATCGCTGTGTGCCCTTAACCCTTTCGTGGTGAGTTGGAGAATATTGAGGAATGATCGGGCGAAGTAGCGCTGTTGATCTCGAGATTCATGCATTTCGATTGTTTGCTACAAATTTAGAAAATTTCCTTTTCAGAAAAATCGGGGTCTCTATATAATTATTGAAAAATAAAATATATCGTTAAATATTGTTTATTTGAGCAAATTTTGATGGTAGCGATCAACGTGATAATTTAATTACAAGATTACTTTTGTTATAATAAAATTAGTAAAAATGTCATTTTAATAAAGCAGTAAATATTGTCGCGACGTCCGGCTATCTGAATGCAATCGACACATCATCGACACAAAGTTCCTTTTTGCATTAAGCATGGAAAATGACGTTACTTATTTCGAAAGTACGGATACAGTTTCAAAAATTTTGCTTCGCATGAATGTATTGCAAGCATGTTCGCGTTCGGAGCTTCACTATGTTCTCAGAATTTGAAATTAATATCAGCTCTGAAATAAACGGCTTATTCATTGTGCAGCTTTGATATTTAGAAGTAAAGAAACAGCTAAAAATACTTCGGACGAAAGCAGTTAAACTTCATCACAGAAGTGTTAATAGAAAGCAAGCCGCCAGTTATAGAACGGAATAAATAATAATAAAAAAAGGTCGCAAATATCCCTGCTATAATTGAGGGAAATTCTTTACAATTGTAAAGAAAAGTTTCATGATGTTTGTAAAAATTGAGACTAATATCAGCTCCAGAATAAATAGCCTCTTCATTGTATAGAAACCAGCTCTAATATTTGAAAGTAAAGAAGCAGTTAAAGATACCTTGGATAAAAGAAGTTAAACTTTATTATAGAAGTGTTAATAGACGGCAAGTCATCGCCAATTATAGGACGGAATAAATAATAATAAAAGAAGGCCGCAAATGCTCTCTACTATAATTGAAAGCAATTCTTTACAATTGTAAGAAAGAGTTTCACGATATTTGCAAAAAATGAGACTAATATCGGCTCCATAAATAAATGAACAATGAGTAAATAGTTTCTTTATTGTGCAGAAACCAGCTCTGATATTTGGAAGTAAAGAAGCAGCTAAAAATACGTCGGACGAAAGCAGTTAAACTCCGCTACGGAAGTGTTAATAGAAAGCAGGTCGCCAATTATAGAGCGATATTTTGGGTACGCCGGGACATAATTCGCGCGCGGGATTTATTCTGTGACTGCCGCGCCCAAAATTAGATCCAAATAAACGCGGCAATTAAAGAAACTGCAGGCCTGAATAGGGCTGGACGATCCAATTAACGTTTAACTCACGGCGCGGCTCGCGTGCGTATGAAGATAAAATAATTACTGCCAAATAATGTGCGTACGCAGGCAGCGATTGAGGGATGTGTTGCAATTATCGCGGCCAATCAAAGAGACTCGCGCACGTGTTTGTGTATGCGATAACATCGGAAAAGCCCGCGGAAACTTATTCGGTCATCCGATACGCAGGATGATCCACTTATTTCTGCGCGCTTGAATTTCTCGGTTGCTCGCCGTGTGTATGTGTGATTGAAGCAAACCGTCTGAAAATTATTCAACATGCACGATTACGTGCCCTTTCGAACCGAATAATAGTCCCGCGCTGAGAGACACCCCGTTCTATTCTTGCAAACGACGGGGATATTTCGGGCTGCGAAGACAAATGGGCCGTCCTGCATGCGAAAAATAACCATTTAGATTATTTACGGTGTTTGTGTCGCGCTGTTTATGTTTCAAACGCTGTTAAGTTATTCATGTTGTTTATTTGAGAGGGAGAGACGAAATGACATAATCGAGCCGGATATTGTATTAACTTTCTCGTGACGTAGATTCCGCGATCCCGTTTATCGCGGCGTTTAACGACGGTTCAAGCAACAATAAAATAAGGACGGTGATGTCATCGGGCTTTTGTGAGGGCGAGGCCAACCAAGTCTTCGTGACGTTACGTTTCACGACGTTACGCGCAGCTTCCGCGTTTTGCAACGTATACGAATTACAAATATGTTGCACGATGCACAAGGTATCATTGTCTTAACGCACAATATCGATAAGGGGCCATAAAACCGTTTTCTCTCTCTCTCTCTCTCTCTCTCTCTCTCTCTCTCTGTCTCTTTCGCGGTAAGAAGAGGCAATGCTCGAGTTCCTCCACTTAATCCCGCAATCTGCCTACGATAAACGCGTCCTTGCGTGCATATGTTATTTCACACAGAGGAGACACCTGGTGAGAGGGAAGTACTTTAAATAGAGTCCTTTATCACATCACGCACGTACTATATTTCTTTGTCATTTTTATTTTGTGCTTTGTGGGGACGCGCGAGAAGCTCGCAGGGGAGAGAGTTGCGTCGCCGTCGTGCGTCGTAATCGTAGTCGTAGTCGTCGTGGTTGTCGTCGCTGTTGCGATAATGGCATATGTAAAATAATCTTCTGCATGCGGAATTTTCGCCCTTCTTCTCCCTATAATTTATACCGTCCCTTCGCAGTTCGCAAAAAAAACGCGCGTCATGAGTTCCTCTTTTCTTTTTCGATGAATAAAGCGGACGAATCGCGGCGGAGCGAACGAACGGTGAATCGATTCGTGCTTTTTCCCCAGCTGTTCTCGTGTCGGAGATAGCGCGGTAAATTGTTATGTGCGACAGTTGTCAACTGCATCGAGGGAAGAAG